GCTGAGACTGGTCAATACTCGAAGATCGTCCTCTACGCGAAAAAAGTCGGGTTTCAACCAGATTATCCTTCTCTTTTGCAAAAAATTATGCGACTTGATCCTGACAAAGGTGGAGAATTCGCTGCTATGTTGGCTACTGATGAGGGTGGGCCTTTAGTCGATATCGAACGAGTAAGTTGTCTTATTATGCATCTTAAGCATATTGAAGGAACGTAATTAACTTTTTTTTTTTTTAAAAAAAAAAAAAGATTGTTGATGTTTTTATGTCACAAAACTTGATTCAACAAGCAACATCATTTTTATTGGATGCTTTAAAAGATAATAAACCGGAACAAGCACATTTACAAACTCGATTACTTGAAATGAATCTTATGCATGCCCCGCAAGTTGCTGATGCAATTCTTGGCAATGAAATGTTTAGCTATTACGATAAACCATCTATCGCCTCACTTTGTGAAAGGGCTGGTTTACTCCAAAGAGTAAGGCATTAATCTGTTGAATTTTCACTGCGCCAAAGTTGTACATTTAATTTTACTTATTTTCAATTTTTCAGGCGCTAGAACACTATACTGATATCAACGACATTAAACGAGTTATTGTTCATACTCAATCATTAAATACTGATGTGAGTATAATTATTAATTATATAGTATATTCTCAATTTAACTTATTTAATAATTTTTTTGTTTTATGCGTCCAGTTTGTCATCAATTACTTTGGTAATTTATCTGTCGACCAATCATTGGATGTGTTGAAAGAAATGCTTAAAGTAAACATTAGGCAGAACTTGCAAATAGTTGTGCAAATTGCCACTAAATATTCGGAACAATTGCAACCTTTGAATTTGATTCAATTGTTTGAGTCGTTTAAGACATACGAAGGTACTTTGGTTTTCCTTTTGGTTACGTCATTTTTGTTTCAGTTCAACTTAATAAGCTCTTGAATTTTTTTTAGGCCTTTATTACTATCTTGGCTCAATTGTTAATCTTAGTACAGACCCCGATGTGGTTTTTAAATATATTCAAGCTGCTGTAAAGACTGGTCAAATTAAAGAGGTGGAAAGGGTCTGTCGAGAAAGCCAGTATTATGATCCAGAAAAAGTGAAAAATTTCCTCAAGGCATGTTCAGATTTTCGCATGCAAATATGCTTTATTAAATTTATTATTTATTTAATGTATCTTGATTTTTTTAGGAAGCTAAACTTGCAGATCAACTTCCCTTGATAATTGTGTGTGATCGATTTGACTTTGTTCATGACTTAGTTCTATATTTATATCAGCAAAACATGACAAAGTATATAGAAGTTTATGTTCAAAAAGTTAATTCTGCTCGTACTCCTGCTGTAGTTGGTGGTCTTCTCGATGTTGACTGTGATGAAATAGTTATCAAGAATCTTCTATCATCTGTTACTGGTCATGTACCCGTTGATCAGCTTGTTCAAGAAGTTGAAAAACGCAATCGCCTTAAGTTACTTTTACCATGGCTAGAACAGCGTGTTAATGAAGGTTCTCAGGATCCAGCTGTGTTTAATGCTTTAGCCAAGATATATATTGATAGTAATAATAATCCTGAGGCCTTTTTAAGAGAGAATACAGTAAGTATAGTTTATGTTAAAAATATATTTGATCAAAAAAATTTTTGTTCTTAATTAATTGAAATTTGCTTATTATTATTAGCTTTACGATTCTTCAGCAATTGGCAAATATTGTGAAAAGCGTGATCCATATCTTGCCTTTATCGCATATCAACGTGGACAATGTGATCATGAACTCGTCAAAGTTACAAATGAGAATTCCATGTTTAAACATCAAGCTCGCTATTTGATAAAACGTCGTGATCTAACGCTTTGGGCTCATGTTCTGGATCCGAATAATATGTACCGTAGATCCCTCATTGATCAGGTGAATTCTTTAAATTCAATTTTTTATTTAGATTTAAAATTTCTTTGTAAAAGAGAAGGATAATCTGGTTGAAACCCGACTTTTTTCGCGTAGAGGACGATCTTCGAGTATTGACCAGTCTCAGC